GGGGATGGTCTATGTGGGATTTTTCCTTATATAAGTAAGGTTTTGACTACATAGATTTTTAGCATGAATATATAGTAGTTCATCACGTATCAATCTTTTACTCAGACTAACTACATAGCCAGTTCGAGAGGTTTGATTGTGCATGAGATAGATGACTCAGAATTTATACCGTTGTTCATTAAATATATTGAGAATCGGGTTGGATTCAGGTATAGAAGGTAGATAGGGGTGAATTCTCAGTTATCTAGCATAGTTTAGACTCTAGTCATATATATACACTACTGATTGGAGAACATTGTATTTTATCTGTGAATTTTTGGGGTTAAGTAATGTTACTTGCCACAAAAGAGAGAGAAAGAAAATTGATTGTTATAATGTTTTCATAGTGTGGTGGGAGCCAGGTTGAATTTAGTAGAAAGTTACTTGGCGCCGCACAGAATGGAGGCCATGGACTCCATTATGTCACGGGAGATTACTGATGTTTATCTTAGAATGATTGATGGATATGATATACTGACTTGGGGTACAAGGGAATAACATCAGAGGGAGTGCCCACTGATGGTTACCAGATGTTCTTGAAGAAACGTGTCACAAGAAGGTATATAAGCTGAGGTTTTCTTTGTTCAGTGAGTTCGGAATGGCAAGAGGCAAAGCACTGTCCTTTTGGTAGAACGAACCACGGTACCTATTAAATATTTATAAGAACTCTCCATCTAAGTGTTAAATATCTTCTTGCATCATTAATTACTTGATACCCTAGAAACTCATCATAACAATCAGGGACAGGTTGAAAATGTCAGTGAAGACACTTGCCAGTTGGTCAGCGCATGCTCGGAGTACACGTCCTGGTAATCCGTCTGGCCCTGCGGCCTTGTGAATGTTGACCTGTTTAAAGATCTTACTCACATTGGCTACAGAGAGTGTGATCACACAGTCGTCAGGAACAGCTGGTGCTGTCATGCATGCTTCAGTGTTGCTTGCCTCGAAGTGTGCATAGAAGTCATTTAGCTCATCTGGTAGGCTTGTGTCACTAGGCAGCTTGCGGCTGGGCTTCCCTTTGTAGTCCGTAACAGTTTGCAAGTCCTGCCACATCCGACGGGTATCGGAGTCGGTGTAATAGGATTCAATCTTAGTCCTGTATTGACGCTTTGCCTGTTTGGTAGTTCGTCGGTGAGCATAGCAGGATTTCTTATGAGCATCAGTGTTAGCTCAGTGTGGATGTTTCCTGTAATCCATGGCTTCTGGTTGGGGTATGTATGTACGGTCGCTGTGGGGACGACATCATCGATTGATGAAGCCGGTGACTGGTGTGGTATACTCATCAATGTCATCCATCGGATGAATCCCGGAACATATTCCAGTCTGTTCTAGCAAAACAGTTCTGTAGCTTAGCATCTGCGTCATCTGACCACTTCCGTATTGAGCGAGTCACTGGTACTTCCTGCTTTAATTTTGCTTGGTCAGATTTGACAAATGGAGGGTGAGTGAGATCATTGTACGTGTCTCTGTGTGTGGAGTAAAGGTGGTCTAGAGTTTTTTTCCCTCTGGTTGCACATGTGACATGCTGGTAGAAATTAGGTAAAATGGATTTAAGTTTTCCTGCATTAAAGTCCCTGGCCACTATGTTGATGGAAGTAAAATGCCAAACTTACCTGTGTTCCGGTTGAAGTCAGAGAATGGAGATGGACCCATCAAAATCCTACAATCTGTGGCTGATGTTGAACCAACACCTAACGGGAGAACCCTGCAAAGAAGGAGGAAGAAAGAAAAGAAGACAAGTGAAATGGACTTGAACGAGCCTGAAAGCTGCCCTTCAAGAGCAGAAGAAAGAAAAGGATGTGAAGAGTCCAGAAAAAGCTGAAGATGTTGAACATGTCGATTCAGAAAATTAAGACATTGGGATGTGTTATGATCTACCTGGCACAAACTTTCAAGACAGAGAAGATGAAGAAATGTCATAATCTTACAGTTTGGACTTGGACATTACATGGAATTTAATGACTGGAAAACCTGAGGCGAGAGCAGGAGAGGAACATGAAACAGAGACAATTGATTAAATAAATGAAGCTGAAGAAGCAGCCGAAACTAAGCTGAGGAAGCTAATGGAGCAAATGAAAATGAAACAAATGAGGTTGAGTAATTTGACCCAGTTGAAGACAATCCAGAAGAAAGGGAGGAAGTAGAAACAGAGATAAGAAGATCTCAAATAATCAAGAAAGCTCCTACTCTACTGACCTATGACACACCTGGAGTTCCTTGTGTGGTGTCTGTTCCTATAGTGAGATATATCTCCTCTTTTGTCAAGTGGATTAGGTAATACTATGAACACATATACCTTATTCCTTTTGAGTTACACAAGGGTTGACACATTTCCTGTGTTTGTACATACGCATGTTTTTTTTTTACCCTGGTTAACCTATTTTGATAGGGGGAGATTGTAATATCCTGTTAACACGTATTAGAATCACTCAGTGGTGTAAAGTACTTAAGTAAAAATACGTTAAAGTACTACTTAGTTTTTTGGGGTATCTGTACTTTACTTAACTATTTATATTTTTGACAACTTTTACTCCACTACATTCTCCCCCAAATGGTTTTACTTTTTCTCCATACATTTTCCCTGACACCAAAAAGTACTAGTTATATTTAGAATGCAAAGCAGGACAGTAAAATTGGAAAATGCACACACTTATCAAGAGAACATCCCTGGTCATCCCTTTTGCCTCTGATCTGGCGAACTCACTAAATACAAATGCTTAATTTGTAAATTATGTCTGACAGTTGGCATGTTCCCCTGGCTATCCGTAAATTAAAAAAACAAGAAATCATGCTGTCTGGTTTCCTTAATATAAGGAATGTGAAATGATTTATACTTTTACTTTTGATACTTAAGTATATTGAAACCAAATACTTTCAGACTCAAAATACTCAAGTAGTATTTTACTGGGTGACTTTCACTTGAGTCATTTTCTATTAAGGTACCTCTTTAATCTGTAATTCCTGAAGTCATCAGGACAGAGGGAGAATCTCTGACTCTGAGCTGCACATAATACAAGCAGCAGTAATATTTGGCTTTACTGGTACCGGTATTATTCTAACCAAGCACCTCATTTTCTACTGTATAGAAAGGTTACATATAATTTATCATATTCTTCACTCTTCAATCAGTAGTCTTCAATTCCACTTAGACATGTTTATATCAGTTGGCAAAGCACTTGGGAATATGACAAAGTGCAACAATGTTATTGTTTGTAGAGGGTCCTATTCACAATTCACACGTTTCTGTGGTGTAGTATGAAATGCCACCTGAAGGGGTTAACCTAACAAAGCACACACACCTGAATCAGAGGATGCCATACAGACAGACACCTCCCCATGGTCTACTACTGCATGTAATACAGAACAACATGAAGCATCAACAGTAGGACAGAGGGTGTCAAAGCTCTGTGATAGATAGATCAGCATTGTTCTGCTCCTTACCTTTTACACTTCAAACTGACTGACTAGTCATGAGAAATTGGCTGATCCTGCATGTTCTGGCTGCATGCTGCTTTGGTATAACATCACTCTGTTCATCTGTCTCTTTCTGTGCATTTATTCATTTTATTTATATACATTTTTATTACAGTATGTAGCTCCTATAATTTGTCTAATTTGTTTTACTCTTTTTTTCTCACAGAACTGATAGCTGGGGATAACATTATTTCTTCAAGCCATGAAGTCATCAAGCCAGAGGGAGAATCTGTGACTCTGAGCTGTTCATATGATACAAGCCATTCCAGACCTTGGCTTTACTGGTACAGGCATTACCCTAACCAGGCTCCTCAGTTTCTACTGTATAAAGGTGCCAGATCAAGTACCGTTGAACGTATCCCTGATAAGAGATATACATCCAAAACGTCTCAGACATCAACTGAACTGGTTATAACAAGTCTAACCCTGGCAGACACAGCTCTCTACTACTGTGCTCTTGACTCAACACAGTGATACAAAGTGTATAAGACACTGTACAAAAACTTGCTGACCAAAAATGCTTTGTTGCTGTGTGGAGCATAATTAAACATCAACCACAATTTGATAACATATGGCAGAGGTTTACATCAGAGAAGTGTGGTCACACCTGTGCTGTGTGCAAACAACAGGCGATATAGTGTTTCTCTGTCTTCCTATTCAATACTTTTTGAGAAAGACTTATTCTTCACTCTAGTTGGTAGAGTTTGGTATGAGGGTCTTGACTTGGATGGTAGTTGGGGAGGCCAGCCCCCGGTCGTGGACCGAGGTTGATAGCTGGCCTCCTGACAGGATCAGCTCCCTGTCGTGGACCGAGGTTGATAGCTGGCCTCCTGACAGGATCAGCTCCCAGTCTTGGACTGAGGTTGATAGCTGGCCTCCTGACAGGATCAGCACCCAGTCCTGGACCGGTGTTCAGCTGGCCTACCGTGATATGTTTGATACCGGAGCTCCGAGGATTTCGCCGAAATTGCTAAGCACTGTACTTCAAAGCAGTGTGTCGATTCCTGTATAACTTTATCAGAAGCACGTGATCAATTTCATCCACAGCACTTGGGAATATGACAAAGTTCAACAATGTTATTGTTTGTAGGTGGCCCTATTCACAATTCAAACTGCTTGGTGGTGTAGTATGAAAGTCAACATGAAGGGGGCAATCTAACAAAGCACACACACCTGAATCAGAGGATGCCATGGAGACAGACACCTCCCCATGGTCTACTACTGCATGTAATACAGAACAACATGATGCATCAACAGTAGGACAGAGGATGTCAAAGCTCTGTGATAGATAGATCAGCATTGTTCTGCTCCTTACCTTTTACACTTCAAACTGACTGACTAGTCATGAGAAATTGGCTGATCCTGTATGTTCTGGCTGCATGCTGCTTTGGTATAACATCACTCTGTTCATCTGTCTCTTTCTGTGCATTTGTTCATTTTATTTATATACATTATTATTATATGTTGTGAAGATATATTTATCTTTATTTTCAGGGTGCAGAGCAGAAGACAATGTAACACAGCCAACATAAGATGTAATGGTCGTAGAAGGACCAACAAAACCAACAAAACTCACTTGTCTATTTATTACAACTGATCAATCACCATATCTCTTCTGGTAAAAACAACAAACAAATAGCAACTGCATGTTTATGCTGAGAAAGGATACAGTTGGAGTCGGGGAAACTGCTGCTGAATTCAAGGAGAGATTTCATGCCCGTCTGAATGTCACGGCAAAATCAGTCCCCTTGATGATCCAGAGGGTGCAGATGTCTGACTCTGCTGTGTACTACTGTGCTCTGAAGCCCACTGTGACAACAGGATATACAGCCCCCTTACAAAAACACTGTATGTGTGCACGTGGGTGTGTTCAGTACTTTGTGTTGTGTGCCGTTTTTTAAGGGGAGGTGTTATATAATTGAGAGGAATATAATTGGCAGAGGAAAGGAAATACCTTTCATAGCTGACATTGAGAAACCAGGGTAGACATTCTGTCATAACTATACTTGTGTTCACTTTTTTCACGGCGTCAAATAACACTTACCAGCATGTTACTAAGATCAATTTCAATATTTGCACTAGCGCCTGAGTTTGATGCTATTCTTCATATCCAATCACAAATCCAATGTAATTACTGGAGCCTGGAGTAAAATTACTGTGAAGGATCTTTTGTCCATTTTTAATACACTTGACTGAAATCTGAGTTGAATTTTATGCTAATTTCCTGATAATAATTCCTGTTTTCATGAATGTTTTACAGGTGGCAGTCATGGGAATGACATTACTCCAGCAACAGATAAGGTGTTTGGGTTGGAGGGTGATGTCATAAAGCTGTCCTGTAACTACTCCTCTGCTAGTAATCTCCAGTGGTATCGACAGGACCCTGAATCATCTCCCATCTTCCTCCTCCTCACTGGAGTCACATCAAACCCCTCTGTAGTGAACGGTACTCCACCATACCCATGACTGTCTGTTAAACTGAATAAGGAGAGAACCCGTGTGGATTTGGAGATCTCCTCTTCTGAAGTGACAGACTCTGCTCTCTACTACTGCGCCCTACAGCCCATAGTGACAGGAAACCCAGAAACACTGTACAAAAACCTGACAGCTCATGATAAACTCCTGTTATGCATATTTTAGGGCAGGGGTGGGGCTTCCTATTGTATGTTCAAGAAAATTAATTATCTTTTAAAAACTGTGTTGTACTTCACTCCAGCATATAACCTCAGCTACAATATGATGGTTCTCTACACAGTTATTTTACTTTCTGCTCTGACAGGTTAGTAAATGACTGTATTCCTGTCATTATTTTAACTAGATTGTTCAGGGTAATGTATAGTTAATCTGAATTATTGGATTTTAGAGTAAATACCAAGATCTTTCCTCATTTCAAATACATCGATCTTGTGATTTATCCATAACCTCTTCACATTTTCATGTGTCAGTTTTCAGCAGACCATCCAGCCAAACCAACATGAAGTGTATGGAGAGGAGGGTAGTAATGTTCAGCTTTCCTGCAACTACTCCTCATCATACAGTGTACTGTGGTATAAACAGTATCCAGGATCAGCTCCCCAATTCCTGCTTTTCATCCACCATGCCTATAGGACTGTAGTGAGAGCTAAACCTCCATACCCTCACCTCACTGTTAAACTGAACAAAGAGAAGACCTGTGTGGATCTGGAGATCTCCTCTGGTGAAGTGACAGACTCTGCTCTGTACTACTGTGCTGTCAAGCCCACAGTGACAGGAAACACAACTTGATCATACGAAAACAGACAGCCTGACACACAGATGTGGGATGTAGACTTTCCATTCAGAATGAACTTCATCCTATAAACCCTGATAAAATATCATACAATTCATACGATATTGTTTATTTGCATATGGTGATGTGGTACAGCATGGTATAGTATTGTGGATCAATTGAAAAAACAAAAACAAACAAACAAAGGCATTCCCTAGACATTTCCAGTTAGGAATGAAGTGTAAAATAATCTGAGGAAGAGGCCAATAAGAACTGAAAACCCTTAACCACAAACCACAGAAGAAGAATTACATATCCAGTTATCAGAGGAGGGGCCTCATAGTCAAACACTGGTATAGGCTGGGTATACCTGCAACCATGAGGATGCCTCTGTAGAGGATCTACTCAGGTCTCTCACTGTCTTATCTCTCAGTTGGTTTATCTAGTCTGTGTCAGGATGTCACTCATATTACTGTTTCTCCTCTCTGTGTTTGTAGGTGAGTGCTGAATTCTCAGCTTAAACCAAATAACATTTTGATTTGCCTGCGTTCAATTAACGATTCCATAAAATCTAAATGGTAGTAATACTTTAAAATTGTCATTGTTACTGTTATCATGTCTGGACGTTATATGGACCTTTTCCATTTAACATTTGGAATTAACATTTTGAATCCCAATACTTATGTTGTTGCAGCTGATAGTATGGAGCAGGAAACAATAACTCCATTGAAGTCTGAAGTCAATGTTCTCCAAGGAACAGACATCACTCTCTCCTGCAACTACAAGGGCAACGTTAACAATTGCCAATGGTACCGTCAATACCCCGGATCTAGACCAGAATGTCTTCTTTTGATCCTACCAACCAACAAGTATGTACAGAATACATCCATTACGACTCCACGACACACTGGTAGACTGAATGAAGAGAAGACCCGTGTTGACTTGAAGATCTCCTCTGCTATATTGGAAGACTCTGCTCTGTACTACTGCGCCTTGCAGCCCACAGTGACAGGAAACCCAGACACACCGCACAAAAACCTGTCAAGATCCTTGTGGATAAACAGTGTCTTGGTGGACACATTGTACTCTGATAGATCAGTTTTTATTTAGAGTACATTATTACTAATATTTTCCCTGCATTTCCACATCAACTGAAAAATAAATATAACTGGTATTTTATTGAAATATATTCCCTTCTCCAGGAAATAATACTTTATATTGTATTGTGATATAACATGATCAGATATATTAGTCTGAATAAATACAGAATGAATAACATTTGTGTTGTTTTGGTTCCTTAGAGTATTAAGGGCAGTAATTGTCTTATTCTTCTCCATTGGTTTTTGTGAACAGCATACATTTTGAGATAATACCAATAGAGGGCAGTCATGGGCCGCATGATCTCTATTCAGAACTATAGCAAAATCATGAAGATGACATTAAGCAGCAATTCAACCTTGAAAGACAGTTTAACTCAAATACCCAACCACCTTTAGTGTAGAGAGGTTGAACTATAAAGTAAATGAGTGCTTTGACATTACAGTATGTAGTCTAAAATATGTTTGAGGAGAGAATAGTGATATTCTCTTACATGAAAGCGCATAAAGCCAGTCATTCAGTACCCATAAAGATGTTTTTATGCAATTTTGCTTTTTTCAATGTCCATTGGTAAGTGCATAGGTTTTGCATTGGGTTTTGCATTGCAGTTTTGCGTTGCAGACATACTTGTCAATATGCTGTAGCATTTACGGTACATGAATTGCAATATGATTTATTTAAAACATATCTAAGATTATTTATTTCAGGTAGCAGTTATGAGGAGGAAATAATATCAGCCACAACTGAAGAGCATGTTTTTGAGGGTGATGGTGTTATTCTGTCCTGCAACTACACTGGCTCTTACAGTACTGATACTTTACTGTTGTACCAACAATACCCCAGATCAAAACCAGAATTCCTGATCCTCATCACTGAAGGAGGGTTTAAGACACATCTGACAACAAATAGTATACTGTAGTAAGAAAGCCAAAACAGAAAATATTTCACGTTGGTATCAATGAGGAGGTGCTGTATAAGCAAAGATATACAAGTAGCTTATGGGATGTTATTGTTCAGGAAGAAGCTAGTCAGTCAGGTCCTTCACTGCTATCTGTCTGTATGTCTGTCTGTTTGTTTCTCAAAGGTCTAGCAAGATGTTGCTCTTCTCAGTTGTTCTCTTTTCAGCTTTTTTAGATGAGTTATTATATAGATAGAATTTATTGCTTTGTTTTACAGCGAGGCCAGACAAAATTGATTTACTGTTTAACGGATTTTCCCCTCAGAAAAGTGAGGTGAGCGTGCAAAAACAAACTAAAAACTAAAAAAACAAGTGGATAAGTAATAACAGTACTTTACCACATTGTCCTAGGCACTTGTGCAGTCTCTAGGCCTAATGTGAGCTTCAAGAATTATATTATTCCATGCGAAAACCTACACAATTTTTCTGAAAAAGAATGCAGATGTTACAATGTTGTTATAATCATGATAAATGAAACACAATGGGAAGTATAACTTATGACAGTTTCTTTATTCCTGATGAATAAAACATATCTGATAAAAATCAAGAACAGATTCACAAGACACCATAACTAAAGTTGGCCGTGTGCAGTAGATCACCTTCTGGGTGTCAACAAACAATGGCGATTCAACATGTAGAATCGTCTGGAAATGAACATAACGAACAATGTTCTGTGGTCAGAGGCAATAGCACAATCACCTGCTGCTTTTTTACTGTTCAACAGCACGGTCTGTTTTGTCCTTTATTTGTTGTTTTTTCTGGTCTCTAGGGTGTTCATTTATTTTTAAGATTTATTGGAGCTCTTGTAATGAACTCCTTTCCTTCTTGCTTACACACTGCGCACATTGGCCTGACATGTTGGAATTGTTGTTTGATCCTCACTACCTCTTCCCCCTCAAGAACATTTGGACATCCACGATGGACACACACATCTGGGAATGACACTGTGATTGCTGAGTAAAACTGCGTCACCACTTCCATTCCACAGGTTAGCCCCTTGAAAGCAACTATCTGCTCGTGATATGGATAGTCTTCTTGGAAAAGCTCTGAACCAGATGTAAAAATTTTCTCATTCCAAATGCGTTGGACTGCTTTCTGTTCTTCTTTAGACAGCTTGCTTTTGGCATACAAGTACAGTGGGGAAAAAAAGTATTTAGTCAGCCACCAATTGTGCAAGTTCTCCCACTTAAAAAGATGAGAGAGGCCTGTAATTTTCATCATAGGTACACGTCAACTATGACAGACAAATTGAGAATTTTCTTTCCAGAAAATCACATTGTAGGATTTTTTATGAATTTATTTGCAAATTATGGTGGAAAATAAGTATTTTTTTTTTACTTGTCTCTAACACTTACTTTGAATACATCAAAACACTAATGAATGATGTTAATGTCTCCTATAAATAAAGCCTATGAATGGAATGTTTCACCTGTCCTTAATTTAATTTGAGCATTGATTGATTCTGTGAATTTGATGTGTATTCGTATTCTGCTACAGTCAGGCCTCTTAACTACATCATATACATACAATATGCGTGGTTTATATGACATCATTGCTCTCATTGTTGACCTGCTCAGTGGTTTGGTCCTCAGGTGGTAAATCCATTTACTGCACTCTTTAGTGGAGCATAGCTGAAGCCAACTGACTGGTAATGGACCAGACAAATATAAAATGGCTCTTTTGGTCTGGTTCGCTACATTTTAGTCATTTAGCAGACACTCTTATCCAGAGCGACTTACAGTTTTAGTGAGTGCATATATTTTTTATACTGGCCCCCCGTGGGAAACAAACCAACAACCCTGGCGTTGCAAGCACCATGCTCTACCAGCTGAGCTACAGGAGGCCCTAGATAGGAAAAGTAATTTTGCACATGTATGATCATTCATAATCCATGTGAGGATTTAGTGTCTTTATTCTCAGAACTTCCTCAACATTTAAATGTGGTCAGCAATGTGTAGGTATAGTTTAAAGGGTTTTCTTTATATTTACCCACAAACAGCCATTACTGCAGCTCCTGGCTTATCTTCAGGTGAGGTACCTTATCTTATCCTACATGTGCTGCCCACTACACCTTCTGAAGGATGGGTTGATCAGGCCCAAGTGAGCCACGTGGCTCGTCCACCACTTTTCACTCTTCAGCCACAACCACTGAGATGTTCTCTCTGCCTCCTGATCAGTTATATGACAGATCGTCTTTGTCTGTGCTCCTCCTATAGATTGCCCTCCACAGTTATGAAGTCCAGTGACAAGGTTTTTCTATGTATAATAATGATACAATAGTTCCATCTAGTGTTCAACATTCTGCCCAACAAGGTGAAACCTTGACATTGCTTGTATTTTCAAGGGCAAGTTACTAGTGAGAGTCAACAGGTGTCAGTGGAGTCTCATCAGTTTGCTTCTATTCCTTTAAGCTAGAAATATAATTTGCATGGGCTGCATCTCAATCCACCGCATCAGCCTATGGCGGTCTTCCGCATCTGTGGTGGAAGGTGGCCGAGCTACAGCGGTGTTTGTCAAACCATTTGACATCCCGAAAATCGGTCTTCTCACAAAAACGTATGTAGCGTCGAAACGGTTTGGCCTAGAAAAATAATATGACCACTCTATTGAAAGATGAGTCTCTCACGAATACGTATGTAGAGTACGCACCGTTTGGGCTACAAACTAAAGTGACCCCTCTGTGAAAAGGGGAGATTCTCACGAACATGATGGAGAATTTAAGGGGTTAAATATGTGTCAAAAATATACATATTGTATATATTTCCTGAGCTGTCTTATATCTCCTATTTATAGGACAAACACTTAAAACCTTATTCCGTATTATTTATTTTTTGAATTTTATTTCTTGTTATTTATGACTGTGTTATTCAATGCATTTCTATGGGATTTGGTAGTAAAGGCCAAATTCAATATTTTATCAAATAATTTTGTTATATATTTTTTAATACCTAAAGGGGTCCTAAAATTCCAAATCAAATAGCTAAATGATCCATGGTATGACCATCTTAAAATAATTATATATGTCAACTTATAACACCCACCCCCAACCTCTTAGACTCTAGAGAATTAAATCATGCATGCGGCATGCAAACACTTTACAGGTGTTCCCCTACAATTAGCATATCAAACTAAATCAACCTGAGAAGGGCAGCATTTCACAGGAAATCATTCTAGCAGTTCAACTAAATTGAATAATAAATGAGCTCCTCCCCTACTGCAGAGCCCCACAATTATGAGACTTCTCAGCTACAGTGGATGGAACATAAAGTCTATTACAGTCTATTCTTCCTCTATACATGAATCATAATGGCACCTTGGCTTAGGAATACTTTACTTATCCTGGCTACATGCTATTTTGGTACAGTGTAGTGCTTTTCCTTCCTGTTCACTTTGTCTGAATCTTAGCCTATTAATTATTATTTAAAAAATAAAATAAAACTATAACTACTTTTTCAGATTGCAAAGGTGAAGAGGCTGTTGACCAGCAGAGTGGACATGTTACTGCCCTTGAAGGAGGACTAGTAACACTCAGCTGTAAATACACTACCAGTACTACATCTCCTGATCTCTTCTGGTACATCCAGTTAACTAGGGACTCTCCTCAGTATGTCCTGAGAAGAGATCGTTATTCAGAAGGGAGCAATAGTGATGCCTTCAAGAAGAGGTTTGTTTCCAGGCTGAATTTCACATCTAGCTCTGTCCCCTTGATGATCCAGAGGTTGCAGCTATCTGACTCTGCTGTGTACTACTGTGCTCTGAGGCCCACTGTGACAACAGGAGATTCAGTCACTGTACAAAAACTCAGGTTAGAGTGTTGTTCAGACAATGTCACAAGCTTCTCAATGTTTGATGATACACAGAAAGAGGAGGAGACAAGGAGTTCATAGTCTCATCTTGGTCTAGTTACATCAGAGTGGTATTACTCTTCTCCCACTGATCTCACAGTAGCAGGTATGGAACCCTGGCTGAGGAATTTACTGATTCTTGCTGTACTTTGTTATGGTATGATAATATTATTTTCCTTATTTGTTTTCTGCCTTTGCTCCCATTCCTTTCTTTTATAAAACATATTTCTCAGTACAATACTATTAGTATTAAATTCCTATCTTTTTATTCCCTCAATTATGTTGCATGATTATGTTTATTAAATTATTTTCCAGAATGCAGAGGAGAAGACTCAGTCACTCAGTCACCAGGAGATGTGATCGCTACTGAGGGAGAACAGGTCAAACTGGACTGTCAATTTGATACTCTAGATACAGATCCATTCCTGTTCTGGTACAAGCAGGGAGCTAATGACTTCCCAAAGTATATGCTGAGGAGGACAACTTTTGGATCAGATAATGCCATTGAATTCCAGGGGAGATTCAATGCCCATCTCAATTTAACAACATTTTTATCAGCATCAAAATCAGTCCCCTTGACGATCCAGAGGTTGCAGCTGTCTGACTCTGCTGTGTACTACTGTGCTTTGAGGCCCACTGTGACAACAGGATATACATCCCCCCTACAAAAACTAGTGTATCCTTGGCACTAGTGTATAAAAAATGCAAGCCTTACTTCTGTGGTGGGTGTGATGTTAGCAGGGCTGTAGACCACACACAGTGACACACAAAATAACATTTCAGAGGAGAGTGAATGGATGCAAACATCAGTGTGAAGATGGAGAAATCAATCAGTGTATTGATCATTCTGATTATGACTACAAGTAAACAATACCTAAATATTTGACATCCTTGCATCCTTATAATCAGATTTTTCTATTTTGGTATTGCTAGTAAAATATATTTTGATGAAGTAAAGTAATTGAAATGTGAAAAATAAGAATGTGTTTTCAATCAGCTTCAATATCAATTTTTCTTCTGCATGAATGGTATCTGGTGATAATGTGACTCCTAATAAGGAGGAGTACACCCCACTGAGGGATCATCAGTGTCTCTGAGCTGTACATATGAAACAAGCAGCACTAACATCTACCTTTACTGGTACCAACAATACCCTAACCAGGCACCTCAGTAACTACTGTATAAAGGTGCCAGAGAAAATAGTGTTGACCATATCTCTAATCATCTATATGAATCTATAACGTCCAAAATGTAGACTACACTCATGATAAAACAAGTAACTTTGGTAGACACAACTCACTACTACTGTGCCCTGAAGGATGCCTAGTGAAATAGCGTCTCTGAGAGTAGTGCACTGAAAGATTACATGTTCTAGATGAGCTTGTTGGTCATTTGCTGACCACAGTTCATTATCAGGCAGCAGAGAGTCTGTAGATTAGATTATTGTGGTTACACCTGTTGTTAGAGTATGTAAAAACACATTTAGCATTACAGGGGAAACTTGTATTATATACAAATTAGAGAATATTATCAATATGGAAACCAAATCATTTGAAAATGCATTTTTTGTAAGCTTGTCTCTCTAACATTAACCATGCTGTGCTGGTTCACCTTGTTCTTTTTAACATTTGTGGGTAAGTAAAATACATTTGACAGTAATAATAATGTGTAATTACGTCATTAAAAGCTTAGAAAAACAACACACAAGCTTTGACCGGAGAAAGATAACTTCTATTTTATTTTCTGCAGGTGGGGATGGAATTTTCTCCATCAGTCTTGAGTAGGATGTGATACATGGTGGCAGTGTCAAGCTTTCCTGCAACTACACAGTATCTGGTGGAGGCAGTGTCTTATGGTATCACCAATATCCCACATCTGCTCCCCAATTCCTCCTCCTCATCTCAGTGTATTCAGCATCTGTTGAGACAATAGTTACTGCAGAACCACCGTATCCTCGACTGTCAGTTAACGTTGACAAAGTGGCTGAACGTGTGTATCTGGAGATCTCCTCTGCTGAAGTGACAAACTCTGCTCTGTACTACTGTGCTCTGAGGCCCACAGTGACAGGAAACCCAGACACACTGTACAACAACTGTACAGAAGCAGTGGATAACAATCCTGGTTGTGAACTGTTTCAAATTTAATTATTATCTGTCTGTTCCAACTCAGGATTACAACACCTGAATGCTTAAAATAGTCCACATTATCAGTCCTTCTTCACCCGAATCAACACCATTTAAATCAACAAGATATACAGTATAACTCCCTATCTTCTGTAGAGGGCCTCACCTCAACATTACACACACCTCTATTTCTCTGAGCAGGTGGCTCCTCCTCCTGACAGTGGAGGTAGTTGCAGGGCAGACAGACAGCAGCCAAACAGTATATATCAAATATCACATCCTGCAGATCACAGTACACTGCATATCACAGATCACAGTACACTGCATATCAGACAGTTGAGTTAACCCCTGTCCTGTAGCTGCACATGGTCCTTGGAAGGTCTGGATGGCTGTCTTCTGACTTATAAAACAGTGGGAAATCAATAAAATAAGTCATTTAAACCAAAATATATTTTTTAAATGTAATTCTAGTGCCCGATTTCGGGGACTGTCAGCCCTTTAGAATCCATAGCGGCCGTCAAAGGCCTTCCTTATAATTACTATATCGGCCACGAACGGCCTTGTTTTCTAACAATAATATCAGTGTCAATATCAAACTTGCTTGTCAAAATTTACTTGCTAACAACCTGTTGTCATGGAAACAAGAAGTAGACTTGATGGCGTATTGAATAGAAATCGGTACGAAACACCTCAAGATAAAAACATAATATTCAAAATCAGTAAGTTAGACAAAATATTAGCATTTCATATATTCGCAGTTAATATAATTCAATCTGGATAATAACAAAAAAACAGATCATAAGGCTAGAGAAATATATCGACAAATATTACAACAACACGCAACACCCAAACATGACTGAAGACAAGCGTGGAGAGCCGATCCCCAAAAGGAAACGCGACTCATCGACTGATACAGATGATATATGCTTTTCACCACTGGGTATGGTAAGTGTGGAAAGCGACCTGTTGAAGTCGATAAATGACAAATTTGGCATACTAGAATTGGTCAGTAAAGACGTAAAAGAGTTGAAAGCGAGTCTTCAAATGAGTGACAAAAAAGCTTTGGTAATGGAGAAAGAAACCAAAGAATTAAAAGTGACAGTCTCTAAAATGGAAACGGACGTTAGGGAACTAAAAAAGGAGAACAATCTTCTGAGAGAAGCCTTACTAAACATCCAAACTAGATCGATGAGGGAAAATCTAGTACTTACGGGTATTCAGGAAAAGGAGGGAGAAATAACAGAGAATATTATGAAGGACTTCCTGCATACAGCGCTACAAATCCCACTCGAGGCTGTCGATAAAATCCAACTCGAACGTGTACATCGTTTCGGAAAAAGAGGACAGAAATATGAGCGCCCAATCGTTGCCAAATTTGCTTTTTTGAAGGATAAAGCTATGGTAAAAGCCTAGGAAAAAGACTTGCTGGCACGAAAATAGGCATGAATGATCAGTTCCCAAGGGAGATTGTAGAAAGGCGCAAAGTTCTGTATTCAATCTTCAAGATAAACAGATTAAAAGGGAAACGTGTTGCACTAGTGGTGGATAAATTATATATTGACAACCAAATGTTCAGAGACACAAAGACTACTCCATGGCTATTCTAAAAGTTGTAATAGAGGAGTCGAATATTGGAGCACCTGATACTAGCAATGATAGGGATTGTAATATTAAATAACATTTATAGTAAGTATAGTATTTTATAAAAGGATACAACGATATAACAAGCAGAATAATACATATTTAAATACAAATAATTAGAACATGGCTTTTTTGGCGGGAGGTTGTTGTTTTGGCGGATGGTTGTTGTGGTTGGTCCTGTGTTCTCTCTGGCGTCCTTTCCCCCTTGCGGCAGATGTGGATGAGGGTGCGTTTGCACGCTCGGCCCATTTCTTCCCCAGTCAACCATGTGGTGTGCATTTTTGTGTTTGAAAAGGTGCGGCGTTAAGTGAGTGAGAGGGGAAATGGTTGCATATCCCAGAGCCGACCGGGGGTCTATGAGCAGGGGTTGTGAGAGAGAGCTTTCAATTTTGTGTAGATGAGGGATATGCATTTTTAAATATAGTATACATCTAATCAAATTTTTATTGTCCTATCATGATGGAAAGATCCCTAACCCTATAACCTGGACACCCAACTGAGCGACCCATACACCAAAGAGAAGTTCCCATCTCTTTTATGGACCTGCTGTGAATATGCAGCCTAAACAGAGAAATAAATGCGGTCAGAGACCTACTTGAGCAGCACCGCCCCCTCAAGATTCTGAGCCTGCCTGGCAGGGTTTGTCCTACAAAGCCAGAGCCCCCTGATGGGAGAGCATAATATACAAGGAAATTCTCAAAGCTGCTAATGAGAACCTTTACGACCTTTTTACCTAGCCGGTGGGGATTCCGGTGGGGTACACCCACCCAGGTAGTGGCGGTGCTGGCAACACTGGCTGCAGTAACCCATGGGGAGGGGGTCACACTCGGACAATCAGAGAGGGGGTTTATCATTGTGGCCCAGGTGGCACAAAATAATCAAAGGTCTGACTGCATGGAGATGCTTGGGAAAATGTTTACAACAGGGGTTCAGAGTGTTTGTGTCTTAGGTGAAGAGGGTGGATCTGATCTCCATCACCTAGGACTTGACATAGATTAAGTAGATTAATCAAATCTCACATTGTTATCAATTTCTGCTCAATCTGCATGCTTTCTCAATCAGCTTTAACTGTATGTGCACTCGTAAATCAAGTTATTTCTCGAGTTGGGCTCTGGGATATAACAGCTGTTGAGTATCTGATTTTATGGTGGATTGTGGAGGAGGGGGGTTGAGTGTGTTGGAGTATGTGAGTATGTGCGTGTGTGCTTGTCTGGCATCTGTTGTGTGGGGGGTGGGGATGTTGGGGGGGGAGGGTATGGGATGGACCGCGGGGATTATTTGCTAGGATAATAATTGCTTGTCAATGAATTAAGTGTAATAAAATGGCAATCCGGGTTATATGTTGGAATCCTACACGTAAACTGCCGACATTATTACGCATATTAATTGATAATGATGGAAAATAGGATATGCATAAAAAATATATATATATATATAGAGGTGAAAGCATTGGAAATGCTTTTGGCGGTTAATCTGCTTCTGTTTTGTGGGTGCCACTGTGTGCTGTTTTCGATGGATGGGTCCTGGCCTCTCGGGGCCTTAGGGATACGGAGGGACGTGGATGGGATGCTGATCGCTGGGATGGCAGCTCAACTTGGGATGGGGAGGGGCATTAGCGGGGGAATTAGTGGAGAACAATTGAAGGGTTACTCCGTAGCAATGCAAATATCACGGTACAGCTATATGGACACTCAATCATTACGCTATTTTTTATTGGTAAATTTACAAACATATATAATGATAAATAGACTTGAAACTTGTATCTCATTATGGTGTATGGTGAAATAAGTATAGCCAGTTATAATTGTAATGGCTTAGCTGATAATAACAAAAGAAGAACAATATTTACATGGCTCAAAGAGAAGGAATATAATATCTATTGTATACAGGAAACTCATTCAACAATTCGAGATGAAGTAGCGTGGAAAAAAGAATGGGGGGGGGGGGGAAATATACTTCTCCCATGGGCAAAGAAATTCAAAAGGGGTGATGATATTAATTAATAGTAATTTCGATCCGAATGTGCAAATTGTCCAAATAGATACGCAAGGTAGATGGATTATTTTAAATATGTTATTGGACCATAAACAGATATGGCTCATTAACCTTTACAGACCAAATAATGATGATCCACAATTCTTTGACAATATATATAATAAACTATCAAGCCTGCAAGCAACTCAAGACACTATTATTATGGTGGGGGATTATAACACTGTTTTAAATAGCACAATGGACCGTAAAGGAAATCACACCACAAACAATCACCCACATGCTCTTAAGGAAATTGTGAATGGCATGGATACATTAGAACTAGTAGATATATGGAGGCTTAAATATACTGATCTAGTGAGATATACATGGCGGAGACTGAATCAAGCTAGTCGTCTTGACTTCTTTCTTATCTCATTCTCGTTGGCACCAAAAGTAAAAAAAAAGTGTTGATAGGGGACATAATGCGGTCGGACCATCATATAATAGGCATATACATTACTCTAACTGAATTTCCACATGGGCGAGGATATTGGAAATTTAATCAAAGCCTATTGGATGATAATTTATTCATAATTAGAACAAAGGAATTTATAACTGACTTTTTCCAACATAACATAGGTACAGAGAATCCCCTTATTGTATGGGACACCTTTAAATGTGCCTTTAGAGGCCATGCAATTCAGTACTCATCTCGAAAACAAAAGCAATTTAGGTCAAAAGTGTTTATACTAAGAAAGGAAATAGAAAATCTAACAGAAAAGATAGATGGCAATAAAAACTGTAACATAGAGGCTCAGAATAAATTAGAGGAAAAACAAAAAGAAATGGAGAAACTTATTCAAGAAAGATCCAGTGTAATATATTATAAAAATAAAGCAAACTGGATGGAAAATGGGGAAAAATGCACAAAATTCTTTTTTAATCTTCAACATAGGAATGCTACCAAAAAGAACTTAATGAAACTGGTTACAATTGACGGAGTCACCCATAATTCACCAAATGATATTTTGAAGGAAGAAACAAAGTACTTTAAGCATATGTTTTCTTTTCAGTCGCCTCCATCTCCTCTAACTGAAGCTAATTGTAGAGATTTTTTTTCTATTGATAATGTCAAATTAACAGCCACACAGAAAGACTCATGTGAAGGTGAAATTACAGAGGAGGAACTTCTGGATGCAATTAAAGACTTTAAGTCCGGGAAAACTCCAGGGTTGGATGGCATACCAGTCGAGGTATACCAAACCTTTTTTGATATACTAAGCGGACCGTTAGTAGCATGTATTAACCACTCCTATGTAAATGGTAGATTATCTGACACTCAAGAAGAAGGTCTGATCTCATTATTATTGAAACAGGATAGAAGTGGAAAATATAAAGATCCAGTC